CACTCATGATCTGATCATGTATTCTCATGTGCAGCATCTGCACATTGAGGTATTTTTTCAGTTAAATTGGCTCTAAGCATCTTTTCTTATCTATGACTTCGAACCCTACAGATCCCTGTACAGAGGAGTACTTCTCTTTTTAATTATGTGCTTAATCTCCAAAAACCTCAGCAAAAGTCATCTTCCTGTAACAATCTAATTGGTGCCAGCAGCTGTACTGTTAAGGTTTCCTAGAATTCTACCTTTGAAAACCAAATAATCTCCATCAATTAAGCTCTTAATCTACCCTTTATCTTTTCAGTTGCCTGTGATTGTCTTAAACTGCTAATAATACCCCATTTAATTTCCGGGGATTTCCTCACCATATGTCTCTTTGGAGAGGATCACACAAAACTGGTTCCCCTTGTGATAGGTCACAGAATAGCAATCTGACTTAAATGGCTTTATCTGAAAAACAAAGACAAGGCTGAATTAAAAGGGCTTTTTTCCTGTTGTTGTTAACCCAAAGACAAGAGTAGGAAAGAGTTGCCACAGTTATCTGGAGATAACAGAAAATATCATTTTTTCTGGCCTGAATTATCTAAATAATTGCCTCAGATTGTCATTTCCCTTGGAAACATATATATATGTGCAAAATACATAAAGTTTCAGTATTGTATCAGAGGGTACTATTTTGCATCCTAAAAGCATTGAGTTTATAATTGCCTCATGAAACCAACTTCTCTCCTCACTTATAAACACCATACTCACACCAAGCCCACTACCCTCAAGTCAGTTCTGACTCTTCACAATCCTATATAGGGTTTCCAAGACTGGAAATCTTTGGGGGAGTAGGCAGTCTTATCTTTCTCCTAAAAAACAGCTGATGTGTTTGAACTGACCACCTTGAAGTGAGCTAACGCTTCCTGAAAAGCGTTATGAATTTAACGCAGCTATGAATTTAATAAAGGAGTTTCCTCCTGTATTCGCCATTCCATTCAACTTTAGTAATGATAATAACATAAGGTTTCACTTAGAACATTTCTAATAATTTTCCAGGTTTGGGGTCTTCTTGTTTTTCAGTTGAACTAATTCAGACCTCATCCCTCCCCCCAACAAAGTATCATTGAAGACGAAAGCCCATTTTCTATAGAAAACAGCACTTTCCTGGGGAATGATTCATCTAGAACAGTGCAGCTTCCAGACTTCACACATCACTTCCCCAAATCGGCTGAATTTAGCCTGAGCCAGCTTGGTACTAAAACACTCAGCTCTTAAAGACATGTGGGGGAATTCACATCTTCCATGCAGTCTTATTTCAAACACTCACAGGGCTACTTCTGATTTATTTGTTGTCCTTCTACATGGAAACACATGCTGGTGGCATTTCTAAAAATCAGGTATATGTTTGCCAGTTCGGAAATGTTCATGTTTTTTGCGACTATGGTTTGAATCATGTAGCTTTAAAATGCTGAATTTGAAGCTTCAAAATATTGAGTTTGTATTGAATCATGAAGCAGCGATTACCCTCATTCTTTTATATATGCCAGCGCATAATCCAGGAAATCTTCTTTGCCAAAATGAGCTTATGGCTTGTGATTCCCTTTACTATCTAGGTCCTTTACCAGTCAGACAAATCTTGTCAACTCACAACTCTGGCCTCAATGTGTTTGGATGACAAATGACTGCCGGTACATATGAAACTGCATTTTGTAATAATAATGGTGGTGAACTATATCCTGAATTATATCATGGCATCTTGAAAACACCATCACATTACACAGATTTTGATGCATCTGACCACTAACAGGAGGCAGAGGGCATTGGTTTAAAGCAATGTCCTCTTCAATGGCCGCTGGCCTGTCATTTTTCTGATAGGAGACCATCTGTTCATCCTGCTGCCATTCTCTAAGGTAAGTGGGTTAAAAATACAAGACATAGAAAATAGACATGCTGCCTCCTGTATTTTTGGTGGACCTGGAATTTGTCATATTGTTTTTCTTCTAGGTTCTCATTTCCATATTTTTGTGATCACGTTTCAACAGTACATAGTGATATTGCTATGTGACATGGACCAATGTTTATACCATTTTAACTTTGATCTATAGACTGGTGGGAAAGTAAGGTATTTATCATTTTAAATATTGCAATGAAAGGTTATATTTTCATTATTAAGAGCATTGGTTCCAGCACCTTTGTCCTCCTCCGTAAAATGATGACAGACAATAATTGAGTCTATATTGTTGGGTTGTTATACAAGGAATTAATATATGCAGAATATTAGATTAAGT